ATCATGACCTGAACTGAAGTCAGATGCTCAACTGACTGAGCCACTCAGGCGCCCCAGTAACAAGTGGTTTTAATGTAATATGAACGAGGTATACAGGGGCTGAGGGCTGGAACATATTAAGAGAAGTGGCCATTTTGACAGGTGAACAAAGGAAGGTTTCTGTCATGAGGTGAGTTTTGAGGCAGCTCTCTCCCACATCCACCAGCAATTCTCGTTTAGTGTTTTACTAATGTAGCACTCACAGATTCTCTAAAAAGGAAAATCAGTCTTTAGAATTCTTTGGATAGATTCAGGTTCAATGAATATTTATTCACTAAGTAACATATTTATTAAGCACCTACTATGTGCCAGACACTATGAATGTTGAAAAGTGTCATGTAGATGATAAAACAATCATATGTTAATAGCTGGTGGGAAGAAGGAGTTCAGACAGTGTGGTCAGGGAAGGTCTTTCTCTGATGACCTGTCTTTTGAACTGAGACCCTCAGTTATGAGGTCAACCCAGCAAAGAAAGGAAGGCAATCCAGGTAAAGGGTTCAGCAGCTGTAAACATCTTGAAGTAGTAACTAGCTTAGAGAGTTCCAAGGCGCAAGTACTGTTATGTGACTAGAAGAAGGTGAAAGAGGGAAGGAGTAGTACAAAATTAGGTACAAGAAGTGGGCAGAAGCCAGATTATGGAGAACTTTGAGAATCATGATCATGAGTTTGACTTTTACTTCAGCTATAGTGGAAAGCAGCATGACATGATCTGATTTCATTGTTTTTGAGAGATTAGACTGGTTCCTGGGTGGGAAATGGAATCTGGGAAACAAGAGCACAGGCAAGAGGAGTGGCATGAGAGATGGTAGAGCTTGGACTAGGATTGGAGTCATGGAGATAGAAGTACATGGGTTTGGGTTATTGTTGGGAGATGGGGCATAAAGTCCTTGCTGATGTGTTGAAAGTGAGTGGGAGAAGAGAAATGACTCCTAGCTTTTAAGCCTGAGAAGCTCAGTAAATGGAAGTGCCATGAACTGACTTGAGTCAGACGGCGACACTATGGATTGGGTGATGTGGGAGTGGGGGGCAAATCAAGAGCCATGTTAACATTATGATGACATTGTGACATACAACACATCCAACTGCCTTACAAGACAGGCCTCTGGATCCAGACCAGCTGCAAGACCTCATCAAAGTTGCTTAAATCTTTTAGCTTCAGTTTCTGTTTCTATACATGGCAATAATAAAACCTTCTTTTAGAGTTGTGGTGAAGAGTAAATAAGACAGCACCTTATGCATGGCAAGCACTTGGTAAGTGTGAGCTATTACAGCCATCATACTCATCATTATCATTATGATAATTGTTATCTTTAGGATCCAGAGAGAGCAAAAGATCTGCTTTACTTTTGTCTCTGGTTTAGAATGTGGACTTTAACTGACCACATTTCAGAAACTGTGAAAGACCCTGTTACATTCCATTTTAGAGTAGATATGTGTCACCTTTTTTTTCCCCAGATTTAAGACCATAAGAAAAGCGTCAGAAAAGCAATTGAAGGAAGTTGCTTGGTCTGATTGCCCCAATCATTATGCCTCTCTGGCAGCTGAGATTTGAGCTTTCATATTTGCCACATGAAGACAGACATCCCATTGTGGAAGTCACCCCCAAAATATACTACTCCCTCCTCTGAGAAAGGAAAATCTCATTTGGCACACGTCCTTCACTCTAGAGTCCCTCATGGCACAAGGATCTCTATTTGTGATCTTATGCAATTTTCCTCTGGGTTTCTAGGATATTTGTTCCATATTAATGGTCACTTCGGAGAATAAATCTTGTGAGAACAGAGGGCTTTTTGGAGGAACATTTTTTTCACAGTGTTGACTATGTAGCACAGTGGATGGTGCAGCAAACTCAGAGTGCAACTGTGAGATGATGGATCTACTTTGTTTTGTGTCTACCAGCCGTGTATCTTGGGCCAAATCATTACTTCTCTATAATCCTCAGTTTTCATGACTATAAAATCAAGTGCCTTTCTCACATTGATATACAGATGAGCTGTGGCATTGGATATGTGATTGCTTCCAAATTGACTACATGCTATACTAATGTGTCAGGTATTTTTACTATATAAGTTCATTTTAAGTATCTAAAATGCCAGTTTCTCTGCAGGACCTTTTCACTGTGGAGAAAGCTGGGGAAGATATTCAGCTGATAAATGACTCAGATGAGGAACATCTATCTACAGAATGCAGGTGAGAGACTACTGCTGAAGTAAGTGATGGAGACCTAGGGCATATTTTTATTCAACAAAACTAAAACAAGAAATAATATGTACAAATATTTTCCCATTAAAATGAAAAGACAAACAATTGAATCCAGAAGAGCAATCTACTAGTCTGAATTCCTTTGCCCAGCTAATATAATTCTTATTTCTCCAACTGAATGTAAATACAAGTGATTGGCTTTTTATTAAAAAAAAAAAAAAAGCTATGGGGGCACCTGGGTGACTCAGTCAGTTGAGCGTCCAACTTCAGCTCAGGTCATGATCTCGCTGTCCATGAGTTCAAGCTCCACATCAGGCTCTGTGCTGACAGCTTGGAGCCTGGAGTCTGTTTCAGATTCTGTGTCTCCCTCTCTCTCTGCCCCTCCCCCACTCATGCGCGCGCGCGCGCTCTCTCTCTCTCTCTCTCTCTCTCTGTCAAAAATAAATAAACATTAAAAAAAACTATAGAGCACACTTAACTGATGCAGACATTTAATGACTTTCAAATTAAGACAATGCATTTAAAAATAGTATTTGATTACTTTTTCTAGAAATACTTTTAAATGGTGGAACAATAAGTGTCCCTCTTTTTGTTAATATAATTTATTTTATGACATTTGCTAACAAAGTTTCAAAGAACGGAGGCAGTGTTCCATGAGTTTCAGTGGAAAAAAAAAATGCAGTCCCAACTCACAAGAAAATGCCAGTTTACCAGATATCATTAAACCCCCTCATGTATCTGCTTAACAATCCACCAAGGATTTCTGCAAAATAGAAATTGTATGTAATACTATCTAGTTATTTAATACTTGTTAAACTCATTAGTCTGTATGTAAAAAACCATAATACTAGATACTGCACAGTATAGATTATTGAGAGTGGGTTAAATATTCCTTCTCTATCACAGTAGATATGCATGTGTAAATAAATAATAAAATAATATATTAAAGATGTGCACCACATGCCAATAATACTTAGCAAAAAAGAAAATAAACCAGATAATTTTTCAAGAGGTTTCTTATGATTAAAGACATGTTTATGTGAGGCCTGATGGTGGGAGAGGAGAGAGTTGGAGGCTGTGGTCACTGTTACTATTTGATGGTGGGGGGCGGTAAGGAAGAAAGAGCTGGTGAAGAAATGAGTTAAACAGGAAATGTCTGACATTCATCTGTGTCTGGATCTAAGGAATGGGGGGAGAATCTTCCCTTCCTGGCAGGAGAGTTCAGAGGTGCTTGGCTGCAAACCATTGTCTGAAGCTACACACAAAGCAATGGGATGGAAAACAGAGCTCACAGTGGCAGTCTGTTTGCATTCCACATGTTTGGTGTCCTACAACTCTTGCTAACATGAGATTGCATTTGTAATTGTGTGAATGTGATAAGTCCGCTCATGCCAAGATCACACTCATTTGCACCAGAAAGCTTTTTTCTTTTTTTTCAGGATCTCAAATTTCTTGTAAATATTCAGCATTGTATCTGTGATTCCTAGGTGTTGGGGACAGGACAAGTGCATGGCCAAGCTTAAGACTAATAATCATTCAGCTCTCTTAATGTGCTTTATCACCCCCAGTTTTTCTTGTTGCGCATGTGCTTATTTACACTTTTTAGGCTTAACCATTTCCTTCATTAGTTACTCAACTTTATTAGACTGTTTACTGAATAATGTGGGGAAGAAGATATCTGCAAAACATGGCATGTTTAAACAATGTGAACTCGAGACACTCTCCTATCAGGAGAGTACCTGAGATACAACAGCAGCAAACCACATGGATAATTCAGTCAGCAGATCATTGTAGCAAATATTCAGATAGTAAGAGTTCAGAGAGTGAGGAGACCTGTGTTTTACTATTAAGCAGAGTTTAATTGGATGAAAAATATTCTGATGCAGAAACGAGCCAGTTACCACATCTATGCCAGTGATCTACTTAGATATAAAAGAAATGTTTTCTTCTTTTTATTTTTCTTTTTTTTATAATTTTTTTAGCGTTTATTTTTGACACAGAGAGAGACAGAGCATGAACAGGGGAGGGGCAGAGAGAGAGGGAGACACAGAATCCGAAGCAGGCTCCAGGCTCTGAACCCATCAGCCCAGGAGCCCTGCGTGAGGCTCAACTCATGGACCGTGAGATGTACCTGAGTTTGAAGTGGGACTCAACGTTGTGAGCCACCCAGGTGCCCCTAAAAGAAATGT